AATGACACATTATTTCGGGCCTTGTCCTTATAATAATTCTTTGCATGTTTGGGCTTTTTTACGTTATTATATACGCACAGGTTAGTGCTATCACAGAGGAAATGATAGAAGCCAGCTCAGTAATACGAATTGCCAATTTGATGCCGAATCTATTCTACATGGAGGCGTATGATCTCCGATTGAAACAGATACTTGCAGCTCACCTCCTTGCTACCTCACCACCACCCTCTTCTGCTTCTGTTGAGAGTTTGATTGATAACGTCTTCCTTCTTTCCATCCAAGAGGCATATATAACCACCACCAGCTCGACCAACAAGACTGCATCCGGCATCTCTCACAGCAGTTATGGGCAGATTCGCAAGCAACGCAGCCTGGATACTGCTGCTGTAGATGTTCTGGTTGCTATATACCGACCAGATGTAAATGCCTTTGTACCCCCTGTCCAGGTGGCACAAGCCGTGAGGCGGCTCGCTGACCATCTTGAGGCAGAGTTCGGAGGTCGTGTGGAGCCACTCACTGACACTTGCCCAAGCCAGGTAAGAAGCCTAGAAGGTACCCTAGCTTTTAAAGTATACTCTTCTCGTTCTCATCACATCTTTAACTAAGTACTTGGTACCTCACGCATTTCCATATTGATTAAGCGATAAAGTATTCTCTCAGATATGACGACCAAGACGGTATGGCCTTCTGTTTGGTAGCGTCAGGGAAACGTCAGGAACGTACCTAGTCGTGTGTCTGCCATAGTATTAGTGATTTCCGGCATCGGACTATTGACTTGATACTTCCTGAACGTTTCATTGGCATCATAGTCGGCATCATTAGTGAGAGGTGCCATCTTCAGAACAGAGTTACAACTTGTCAAAGTGACAAGTGAAGTCAATCCCTTTGACCAATTTCTATTCAACCGTTATGGCATCACCATTTGCCACTATTTTTTGTCAATACCGACTAAAAGGCCGGCGAAACTTTTGAGGATCTACCAAGTCCGATGCTGGAAATCACGAATACTATGGCAGAGAACTCGAGACTATATACGTTCCACAAGGTTTACCTAACACTCCGACCGGATTGCGAAAACGAGGTCAAACTAATATGGCAAATTATCCTTTTCACTTTTTACCCGAACTTCGCTTCATTAGTATTCATTTTAACCTTTATTAAAGCAAAAATTCTTCTCTGGTATCCTAAGTACAGATATCAATAATGCTTAAACTATATGAGAACCTAATTTGATATCATGATTATCTTTTTTGTTTTCACTTTATTAAATGCCTGTTTCTTGCTTGAACTTTATGCTATCACACTTTCGATACTTTTTATTATTTAATCTGTTCATAAAAATAAATAGACAAGAAGAAAGAGAGGACAAAGAAGAAAACCTAATCTTGTTACTTGCATTTCAGTATTTGGTCTCATCTTGGAATATTTTTTTAACTCTAACTTTTGCTAAGATTTTTATATAATCAGAAATTAGTTACCATAGGTGATTTAAGGACCTTAAACTGAGTTTTTATCACAGTAGTATGA